TGGAATAAAAAATATGGGGTGTCTATTTACATTTAGTTAAAAGTGGCTGAAAAACTATCAGCTGCAGTGGCGCCGATGGATAATCGTGTGCCATTGGCTTTTTGACGCGATCGACCCGGGTTCGATGCCGTCTTTTGCCGAACTTTTTTTTCTCCCTTTTCAAATCTCGTATCACATCGTAAAGGCATTTATTTTAAATAAAAATTAAGGAAATAATCAAAAAGTTGAAAATAAAGCATTGGGTAGGATTAGGGTAGGTGTAGGGAGGGCTTTATTGTACCAATAAGGTTGCATCCATTTAATAATTAAAATAAAAATTATAATTTACACTCTATGTCATTATTGCATACTGTTTTATAATGTACTACAATACTGAAGTGCAGATAATTGCCACTATTTTCAACAAGTAGTATACTTGATAGTAGAAATCCTGCTATTTTAACATAGTGTAAATAGGTATTTGCACTTAGTGTAAATAGCATATTGCTAAAAAATACTGCTATTTTCACTTAGTGTAAACAGAATCCATTGCTAATACGAGATTTGAAAAGGGAGGAAAAAAAAGTTCGGGAAAAGACTGGATCGAACCCGGGTCGATCGCGTCAAAAAGTCAAGAGCACGCGCTCATCCATCTGCGCCACTGAAGCTGATAATTTACATGATTTAAACTGAACTACTTTAATGCCATCTCCGAACTTTCTACCACGACTCTGCTGTTCTTCGGCTGGTTCTTCCATATACGTTGATTGACAGATGTCTCGTCCAGTCAGCGCATTTGCGTTTGTAATTTGTTATTTTGTTTTCAGAATTGTGATTTGCTTTGCACTTCTCCGCCACCGTAATATAACCTAGCTATAGCCCCCCTAAAAATGGCCTAGCGACGCCAATGAGTAGTAGTAGTGGTAGTAGTATTATTTGTTTTATTCATACTCTCAAACAAAGCAAAATTATTATTTCTCCTATAACTATTATACAATCTTATTGCAGTAGATATGACAGAAGCTACATTTCCATGAACTATGATCCAAATAACTAAAGATGAAAACTGTATGAAACTAGTTATCAGTGACAAGCAGAGAATGAGTAGCTATGGTGGCTTTCTAGCATATTCTTTGATTTCTGTTCTGTTGAATTGCACATTTCTTGAACATATTTGCATTTTTGTTCAGATTATGTGAATATGTACATTAAAAAACATAATTCTTGTGTTCAAGTCAGACTAGAGAGGAACTGTAGAGCTCGTCATTGGTCATTACACAAGAGTGCAATGCACTTGCAAACACTGACCTTTCAGAATAAACTGTTTAAATAAATACCTTACATTATGTTGACATAAATGTACCCATGTTTTTGTTATGCTATAGTACACATTTTAGTTCATCACAATCAAAACTCGGGTTTGCATTTTCCAGATGTTTTTATTTAGAATGAGTCTTGTTGTTTCTTTATGAGGCACACAAAATCACATAATTCATACTCTATTAATGCTGGACTGGGTGTTGTTTATTTTTCCTGCACTGAACAGAATGGTATCAAATACACAGATACAGTATATACATGCAAAATCTGCACCGACATGCTGGACACACAGCTGTCAGATAGTTTCCGATTCGGATCCATCATTGAAGCAATAAAAAAATACATGTTTGCTGGGTTGAAGGAGTCTGTGGTTGATGAGCTGCAGACTCTAACCCTCATGAGGCATGACGGTATCCAGCACTGGCTTGATGTTGGTGATTGCTTTGTCCAGGTGTTCGCCAATGTAGGGCCGCAGATAGTGGCCATAAGCACCAAGAAGAGCCATGCGAGCTTTGTCCACAACAGGCTCGAGCTCACTGGCCAGACCGCTGGAAGAAGCACACAAAACATAATAGATTTACTCACACAGAATAACTGGACTGAACAACGTTAGAATGATATGCAGTAAGGGCCGGGATGACTAGTTTGAGGCAGCCCTTACCCGATAATTTTGATGGCGCTTTCCACTCTTGGCCTTTTCTTCATTTCTTCAAAAATTTCTTTGGCTTGTCCTCCTGTTGGTGAGCTCTCTAGTGCTGGATGAATGGCATCTTTGGCCTTTTCCCAAGCGTTGACGAGCCTCTTAAGGAAAACTGCCTTCAGCCCCTCATATTTCTCCACTAACTCCTTGTCAGGCTCGGGCCAATCCTGTGCCCAGACACACACCGACACTACAAGAGGAAGAAAAGACCTTGAGAATGATATAAACGAGCCATGTGCCCATCTTAAACCACACGTTTACCCACATTTATTGAAGAGTTCCTGGTTACGGTGTATGTAGTCTGGTTTTATCATGGAGACATGTGAAAAAGGATAGCTTGGACCAGATAAAGGTCGGCATGACTGCGTGTGTGTCTAGTAAATCGCTGTTGCCCTTAATATCGCAACATGCTGAGATGCCACTTACATGGCAGTCATTCCTTTATAGAATTAATTCAGGATAAATGGGAGAGTCTTTTTTGGCAAAAGTGTCCCAGTTCATCCTACAAAACTAAATGCAAATAGCCTGGTGACTTCTGTTATTTTACTGCTCATTTGATCACTTCAAAACAACTAAATCTGCCTCAAATTTCCAGTAAGTTCATAACCTAGCCTGATGAGCAAAAAGAGACGAACAGGTCTCAGGCCTGTTTTTCTAATATGCTAATATGTCTTATTCTTTTTTGCAGTTGTGCACAAGTTAACAAAGAGAGACAACATTTCAAGAACTAGTTTTACCTTGGAGTGCAAGAATGAGAGCAAATGTCAGCTTCATCTAGGAGAGGAGACAGAAATTTAGACATGATATGCTTGCTGAACATGTCAGTGAATGTAAACATCACCAATTCTCAAGTAATTTTAAGTATGCACAAACCAAGGATTTGACTGCAAAAACGGTAATGAAACATCTTTAGTGCAGTTTTAATATAGTGTTTTGCATTTGGAAAAAAGAGAGAAAATGCATTTCAATTCTCTTTAAAATAGTGATGCATTTTAAGTAGTTTTATCATTAAATGTTATTGCATGCATGTATAAGAGCAACTTGGTGAAGACTCACTTTACCTTGTGCTAGTGAGATTCCTGTAGAGAGAAATAAAGGACTGGAGTCAACTGCAGTGGCTGCGTCTGCAGTTATATTGTCTACCATCCATCCCTATATCTGCCTGACCGCTTGACCAAACAAACGTCATCACACACACACACTCAATAACTCAAAATCAATCACACACTCTTGCTGCATGCACACACACACACACCCACGCGGGTGGACCCACTGTTCCTACAGGGCAAACATGTACACCATGGTTTGCCCACTCAAAGTCCACTGTTCCCTTTGTGTGTATTAATAAGGCATGAGAGGATACTTATGAAACCACTAATCAAGGATATTCATGTGCTCTCTGTGTTCGTTAGAACATTAAAGATGCATTTAGGATAAAATGCTAAACAGGAACTTTATACAAAGAATCCTAAGGTGCATTCAAAACAAGACCTCCAAATATAACATTCCCCATTCCACAATATAAAAGCATTTATATTTTTGGGATCTAGTATAGTATATGTTTATGTATATGCATAAGGACCAGTTTTGGCTGTAAAGAAAAAGTGTGATATTATGTAAAACTCTATAATTGGCTTTTATATTGTCACTGGTCCAATTTTCGCCATTAACAAACCATTAACTACGACTCTTGCCTCAGTAAACTACTAATTTGCTGCTTATTAATAGTTAGTAAGGTAGTTGTTTAGGTATTGGGTAGGATTAGGTATGTAGAATATGGTCATGCAGAATATGTGCTTTATAAGCACTAATAAACCATAAAGCCAATATGTTAATAATAGGCATGCTAATAAGCAACTAATTACTAGTGAGAATTAGTCCCACTCCCTATACTAAAGTGTTACCAATTATTCAAATATAATATGGAAACTATTTACCATTTTTATTAACTATATCTTTTTTTCTACCCACTAATAAAATGATATTAGATTAGATCAAATTTATTTGCAATTTTCACAGTACATATTGTTCAGAAGCAATATTTAGTTGCTTACAGATAATTCCAGTTAATAGCTGTGTCTCTTCTATACACAGAATTATAGAATACAATCAAATAAACATAATAAATTTTTTTTTTTACCTATTCAGAACTAAACTGACTGATTGTGCTCAGCCAGCCGTTTCAATTTTGAGTGCCAGAATCAATGTACATAAACTAATGAGGGTTAAGCAAAGGCTGTCCAAAGGTTGTGAAAAACGTTCCACATGCCAAATTGACAGAAGCAGACCCTAGTGAACTTTCCACTTTGGAACATAACGTGTCTAATCTACAACCTGTTGACCTTTTTTCATAATATTAATTCAATTCAATTATTTATTGCTTCCGTTTATTTTCCAGCTTTTTTTTTTTTTTGTCTTCTTCCTTAACTTTTCTTTCTGTTTACTTCATTCACTCATGCGTTTCTCATGCAAAGATTCCACAAACCATTTTTGTAACATTATCCACGTTTATTAATTTGGTGTTAAAAGAAAACATACAGAAAAATAATTGTATTATTAATTTACAATCTTCATATGCATTTGGGTATAGTGTAATTGCACTTTATCTTTAGTTGTGCATTATTACAATGGCATGACTACATTGGAGGTATGATTTGGTGTATTAATTCCACAATATTTATATCCTGAAAATCGGAATTGGGGCTGGTCCCTGACTGCTTATTGATCTTGGGTTGACCTGAAGGTGGGCATTCTGCTTTTCACTCTCTCCCACAGGGAACTTGCACTGTCTTTTGCCCATTCCATGTAAGGGTCTGTAACAGGTTTGAGATGTTCCTCATAGTACATGCCAGCAAAACCAGCCACTGTGCTGCCAACATTTAGAACTTTAGTCTTTGTGTCCCTGTAACAAGCACACAAACAAACACAGAAGTAGAACAAAATGTACAACAAAATGTTCACACTTGCAAATGCATGTATAGGGTGCATTTTATGTAAGAATGTAGCAGTTAATGAACATCTTTAGCTGTACCTGTACACTTGCGTTGCTCTTTCAAGAAGTCCAGCATTGTCTGGAGCAGGAGTGGGCAACCAGTTGGATGATGCCAAACACACTAATGGACCAGAGATTTAAAGATTTAGAAATTCGTTGCATGATAATATTTATGTTGATATTTTTAGATGAATAAATATAAATCAATAAATAAAATATACATGCATATATAAAGCCAGACCTTGCAATGTCACAACCAGAGCAAGGAAAATCAATCTGGACATCTGGAAGAATAATCAACTGAATTAGCTATTTGGTGATGATAGATCTGGAATTGCTTACATGTACATTATTACAGTAAACATATATAGTAAATATGTACCTTTAGAGTTAATGCAGTAGAAGTAAATGTAGTCTTTTTTTCTTCAGAAGAACTATCACCTGGATTTCGGAGACTTTTGTAAAGCTCACGGTTGTTTTTGCGATGAGCTTGTCTATGGTTCAGAGTTTTCTGTGAAGAATGATATCTTGCTGCAGTAAAGCTGTATTTGAATCAATTTACATTCTGAGAAACAGGTCCCACATCATTTCTGAGCAGGCACTGCCTGCTGTTTACTTAGATGAAGAGCAAAAACAACCAATTTCGGAGTTTATGAAACACATTTTTACAATATATAAGAAATGTTGGGAGAAAAAAAATCACAATTATATATTTTAGCAGTAGTTTTGTTTGTGGGGTGTCCACTTGATGAAGGTGGGGTTGGAGTCTGACTTTATTTCTTTATTAATAACGACTATACATCTACACTTAAAAGGCATCTCTCTCTCTCTCTCTCTCTCTCTCTCTCTCTCTCTCTCTCTCTTACTTTATATTATAAGAATGATTCCTGTTACCAGTTGCATTTTTTCTTCTTCTGACTGTTAGCACAAATCAAGAATGTTTCAACCTTGATCCACTGAGGCACTGAACAGAAAAACAAATTTACATTTGTAGCATGTAGGACAGAAAATTCAATAGTGGGATGTAATTCAAGGAAAAGGGGTTCACTCGACTGCTGAACTGGATCGATTGATATTAATCATGTGAATGTACTGATCATTAACTGAGGACAAACAGTGACTTTAACCTCATGTAGTCTGATGTTAAAAGCCCTTTGACCTATGACTTGCATTTGACTTTACATACCGATCTATATATCTATATATTGATTGATCCTTTATTAATTGTTACGTTGATGATGCATCTTCATTTAAGTGTTTGCCTGAATATTGCTGTTTATTTGCTATTTCTTTTAAAAAACTGACTTGATTTCATGAAATGATTTCATGTAGCATATTGTATTTATGTAGGTTGATACAAATAATAAATAGGAATTCAAATAATTTATATTCAAAATAGTTCAATAGTCAGTTGTTGGATTGTTAATGTGAACACATTTTAAATGATCAGTCTTTCAAATGATGCAAAAACAAATTGGTTCTGTGTTTCACCGTTTATTCTTTTGAAAAAATTCAGAATGTATATTTAGATTTTGCATTTTTCCCCACAATATTTAACAGCATCCCACAAAATTGTAAACTATTTTACAGATCACACAAATGACAAGGAGATCATAACAGTTTTGAATATGTACTGAACTGTAACAAATGCACCAGTTGGCACAACAGGGTGGGGGTGGTATCACATATCACACAGCAATTGCATGATTGCAGGGAAGAGGGTAAGGTCATTGGTTTTCACTTTAATTGAAGGTTTCAGTCATCTTCTGCTTCACCTTCTCATACTGCTCAGTAAACCAGTTCCTGCCAAGACAAAAAGACCAATTCATATTAGAAAAAGCTAACTGGCAGTTAGAAATTAAAGCAGCTTCTATGCCAGTGCAAAAACAACATCAACGTCCTGATAATACATTTTATAAATATAAAAATAAGTATAACATGTAAAGGTAATGCATTTTTGTGGAACTAAAAAAGGTTATTTATGATCATCTTACTTGGTTTTAATAGCAAACTCGCTCTTTTCAAGTTGTTCGAAGGTGGTCTTGGTCTTCTCTGTCAGGTCATCTGCAATCTCTTTCACCTGGGTCTGGAATTTGGTGAATTGCTGCTCCAGTGTAGGCTCTTCCTGGGCCTCTGTTGAAATGTAATTTAGTTGACATTATAAATTCATAAATCTCATTTGTACTTATGATATTACACAACTAAGAATATTCTTGAGTATATTTAAGAGTTTGTATTCTGTAGAGGCATCAGAGGGAAGATTTTACCTGTGTGTACAGCAAGTACAAGCATCAGCACGGCTGCAGCCAGGTACAGTTTCATCTTTGCAGTCTTTCCTGCAACATACAGAGAATAAAACGCAATTAGAGAGCCAGCGATGATAGACAATTGTCATTTCGACTGATTTAGGATCAAATTATTTGATGACTATAACAAATAAATGTAAGCCTATAGCCTACTACGTCACATCCATAGTGTCTAGACAGGAACTTCGAAATCTATTTTATATGTATCATAAAAGCCATCTGCTTTAACAAGAAGTTTAATTCCATATGATAGTTATGTGTTTAAGACACAAATACGTTCGTTTCAAAAATAAAAATAAACAAGATGATACAAAATTTAATTCTATCATGGTTTCGATTATTTCTAAGCAGTTACTGTTAAATGTTAAAATGCTCTATTTAATTAACTAGCAAGAATAATTAGCTGCCGAATTTACCGATGACAGCAAACAACGATGCCTAGATGTCGCCAATAGCCTATACTGCGTATTTACTTAGCCGATTGAACGTAAGACAAGAACGTTTATTCTATTGTTTCAGTGTTCGCTAGATTCACTTCGTACTTCGTTTAAAGGTTTGGAAAGTTATCACAACAGGAATAAATGTAAGCTGTCATACCTTTCTTGCAGTCCTCAAGAGAATTGGGTTGAGATTGTAATGCTCCACAGATTGCTTGGCCCTTTATAGCGGCACAGAGCTGACGTAGTGTGATAACACCACCTCTGACCTATCAAGACCTCCTGCGATCACTCTCTGTCCCTCTCTGTTGATCTTCTTTCTATGTTTTACTATGTCACAAATGGCTATAGTGAACATCTTTTAAAGGTGAGAAATCTCTTTGCCATAATACCTGTATTCCCAGAGATTCTGTTTAATTATTCCTGAAAAATATACATTAATGCGTTCAGTGACCTTTGAAACAACAATAACAGTCACAAATGAAACAATATTACAAAACAGTGGGTATTTTCTTTATCTGGCACTTTGATGCCCTGGATGGTACAACGTCCATTCATTATCAGGGATTTTACAATTGGTTACGTGCTCTTCTCAACACACACATTTTCAAAACTATCCTAAAAGTCAAAACAACAGTATCTGTGGACTTAATTAATTAAATCTTTTCTCAGTCAAGTTCAAACTCTAGGAAAACTCAATATCTACTTCCTATTTTTTTGCACAAAACTGTTAAAATTGTGCTAACAAAATAACCATAAACTAAATTGGAGAGTATTGTGCTTTACTGGTAAAGTCAATCCGGATCAGAAAAAAGGATCTAAAATATTAGTTCCCATTATAGTTGAGAGTAGTTTCTTTGATATCAATTTCATTAACTATTCAAAGTAGTCAATAATGATCACTTTACGCTATTCTATGTAAACATTGCTCAAACTGGAAGTAGTGATTGGAGGAACCTCTAATCTGTATAAGAGAGAACACACCATTTCATTGTATCTAGGATTTGATGCCAGATGAAAAAAAGAGAGAGGAAGTAAAATGCCAACATTTCGGCAATTTGTGTAATCCGAGTTCATGTGACGCTATCTAAGCATCCGCTCACCATCCACTTTACTGTCCATTCCTTACCATAAAACTAAAGAGGATCTTTTTTCCTAATGAAGGTAGTATGTGATCATTGTGTCTTCCTAGATACAGTGCTGGATGTCTGAACATATGTGCAAATATTAACCTTCGTTGTTTATCCTCAATTTAAAACAAAGTGTATTTGTGGTTTTCACCACACAATGAGTCAATCTGGAGGCGGGTAACTTTGGCGTTTTTTGAGGTAATGGTACACTGATTTAGTCCACAGCTCTTTAACCTTTTAGCCACATCATAACATGAGACAGAGAGAGAGACTGGATTTGAGCTAGAGTAAATTAAAGTTGTTTATTTCAGTTCAGTTTCACAACCTTTGCCTCATTCCTGCTGCTGTCTGCAAGCATAACAAAGATGCAGGAGTTTGGTAACTGCTGATCGCCTGCATTGAAACCACCTTTGGATTCTAGGTCAGCAAGATGATTAGATCTTTTAACCTTTTATTGACCCAGTATTATGCACTTGCCTTCTTAATAGCATTATAAATTAATATAATTGTGTGTATTTATGAGTGTTTATGATATATGCTCTGCTTTAAGAACCAAACACATCACCTCTATGCTGTAATTTTATTGTTAATGCACTTCACTTTGTGTTTTTCATGTCTGGTAAGGTAGTTAATTTTTATTACTGCCAATTTTATTTTTTATTATTTATCATTTTATTTTTATTTATTTCGTTTTTTTGTAAAGTGACTGTAAAGAGTAAAATATATACAAAAAAACGAATTTTAAATATAAAAATATTTTTTATATTTTACATTATTACGGTTTCACTGTATGTTGCATTTAAATGACTTCTTTAAAAACATTAATATATATTACTGAACAGTAGTTAATTATTAAATTCACTATACATATTTGTATTTATTATAATTGTATAATAACATGTAAATTCTTATGTGTTGAAATAAGATCACAAAGGCCAAGAGTTCCAATCTTGTTACCACTGATCTTAAATCTGTCACATGGAATTGACTGTGACACACACACACACACACACACACACACACAAACAAACTCAGCAGTTCGTTCTGGGCAATGGCCAATGACCTGTTTATTTTTTTATTTTCTAGGTCAAGAAGATCTCTCTGCCCTTTTATTTATTTTTTAAACATTTTTTATTACTCTTTTGCTAAATAACATGCTTTCTTGTCTATTAAAAGACTTGATCGTGATAGGAAATGCTGACAGTGAAAAGCTGACAACATGCAAAAGTGTTGAAAGCGTCTAGACTCAAAAGAGGGGAAGTGAAGCTCCGTGCAAATGAGGACATGATGTTTATGTGGGATCATGCCAAGTCAGTGATCTGCAGTTACCTCTGCTCACATTTGATCGCTCACAGTCTGTGGCGGTGGGGGCTTGTGTATTTTGTCAGTTAACTGCAGTCTTTGTAGCACCTTTCTTGACAAAGTCTTGCTAACCACTTACAGATTTCCTTCTCATGCATGCATGATTTGCCACCTCTTTTTCTTTCAATTTCATATACTTAGTCAATGGCCCATAGCCTTTCATGTAATGTGAGAAGAGAAGGGTTCTTCAGCGTGTCTAGTCAGTGACATGCTGTGCCATCTCAGTTTCTTTGTTTGACCTTTAAAACAAAAGGTGTGTGTCAGAGCGAGTAATTCTTAGTTTAAGAACATTTTGAATTTGTAAAAAATCTGGGTTTGCTTGCCAATGACAGGAAATGTTAGCTCCTCAAAACAAAAACTAAACAAAAACTGACATTTAATTGTACAAACTTGAAAAAAAAAAAATAATAAAAGGTTAAAATGGGTTAGTAGGTGTGTCTGAAATACGGAAGATATATTTTCATCTCAACAGGAACAGGAAAGGCCTGGGCTTTCAGTTATGTTATAAAGTTTTTGCAGATTTTGTGTAATTTTCTGCCAGACACCTGCATGATTGAAAGCTGGAGCTGATGAGGACACAGTTTGCTATTAAAAAGGACCATTGAATGTTGTGGTATTTCAAGCTAACCAGGAGATTCATTAGTCTTTAGTGAAGAAAGGGACTCTTTCTTCTTGGAACAGGGGGAGTAACCAGAATTACAACAGATGTTTTCAGGAGTGACACTCAATAACACCTGGTTATGTAATCTTTCTTTCTTTCTTTCTTTCTATATACATACAAATAAAGCTGAGAATTTTACTGAGAGTTAATTTTATTTCGTTTTTTTATTTTTTATTATTGTTTTTATATATTTATATTATTAGTTATACTGACAATGGAGAACAAAGAACATGAAGAACTTGCAATCAGGAATATAACAAAAGTAGGTTACAAAGACTGAACCTATAAATCTTTCCTAAATTATGAAAAATGAAAATTCAAAAAAGAGAGAGGGTGGCATCTAATGTACTTCTGACTGCTAGACAGATCAAACTCTGGCAGCTGTGATTGCCTGAAATTTGCCATAAAAAAAATTTATATCAACATTTTAGGTTATTTTAATGAAAGGGGTCATATGATGCTGCTAAAAAGAACATTATTTTGTGTATTTGGTGTAATGAAATGTGTTTATGTGGTTTAAGGTTAAAAAAACACATTATTTTCCACATACTGTACATTATTGTTTCTCCTATATGCCCCGCCTTTTTGAAACGAGTCGATTTTTACAAAGCTCATCGGTCTGAAAAACCGAGGTGTGCTGTGATTGGCCAGCTATGCAGTGCGTTATGATAGGCCGAATACCTCAAGCGCGTGACGGAAATGTTACGCCCCTACCCCATATTGTGATGCCTTGTCCCGGCCGGAGCGACCAGACAAAAACATTTAAACCCATTGACATGGCGGCGGCGACAACAATACTACAGCGAGAATAAAGTTACTCCTTCTTTCTTTGCGTGAACATTTGGGCGGCGTTATGCAAATCTTCCCACATAGTGAGGTAGATATGTGGGGGCGTGTTAGAACGAGCCGTTTTAGGTAGGCGTGGTTAACTCTTAACTTTTATAAAGAATATCTCTTTGGATTTGAGACTTTAGTCTTTGCAACTTTACAGATCTTCTTTATGCACCAGGACCTTGTAACCCTCCAAAGAGAAAGGAAAAATTGAAATCGCATCATATGACCCCTTTAATGAAAAGCCAGCAAATGTGAATTGTCACACCGAGAATTCTGGGAATGACATTTTTCACTGTAAATTGTAAGATGACTTGTTTTTTTTGTTTTTTTTACCAGTATTTTAGGTACAGTATTTTATGAACTACACCAATAGATTTTTAACTGTATAAAGAAACTTAACATTAACTAATTAACAGGTTTCTACTGTATTTTACTGTTTTAAATTATGATATTTTACAGTGTTTGGCAGTGCAAATCATTGTTTGCAGTCCCAGTGCATTTGTGTGTTGTGTTGCTTATCCAGATGTGAGTGTGAATACAAGATAGCAGAGATTCAAAAGGAAAAACAAAGACATAACCAGGGGCACAGCATGTTCCTTATGCAGCAGTCCCGCAGGCAAGCAAATGGAATTTGGAAACAGATCTCAACATGTCTTCCTTAAGATTCAAAGCAGCAGGGAAAAAAAGAGAGAAAGAGGGGTTAGAGAACAGGTCCTTTGATCCGGAGACAATCAAAGCTGAGAAACATGGATCTGATCTTGAACAGTTCTGTGCAAAAGCAAAAGCTTGAAGGAAAGAATTTATCAGAAATGGGTGAGATTTATCATAAGGGTAACAGAAAAAGTTTTTAGATTCTTTTTTTTTTTTCCCAAAAAGGTTGATGTACAGCGAATGTCTTAATAATTCAAACTTAACCTGTGTATGTGAGTTGTTTGCACATGTACACTTTTATCCAACAGAAAGGTTTTGTTGTTTTGTTTCTTTGCTTTTCTTCTTCTTCTTTTTATTTATTTATTTTGGTGAATTAATAAAGTTTTAATCTGTAATTAATTTAGCTTGACTGAAGGCTTGTACACAGCAATGACATTATTTTAGTTTTAAACATTCCCTTTGGATATAGTTTAGGTATGTTAATTTCAGAGATTTTTACCTTTTGTCTTTAGAGTG